GACAAAATCTCTTATTTAAACTACGTGGAATCTGCAAAATATCCCCTGATATTAAACATTGTTTTGTGCGAGATGGTAAAACAATAGCTAGGAAGACTTTGTAAAAACTTATGTTATAACCACTGAGGCACACCTCACTTCTTTCCTGGATGACTGTGGGATAACAGCTGAATAACCAGAACATAATTTGTAGTCTCACATACTACCAAAGTGTACTTAAGCTCTGCCTTTCCAAAGGTTTTTTATTTTTATTTTTTGTTGTCATCTTTGTTGTTGACACTGCTTGTTTTTTATTCTTAATTATTTGGTCTTAGTTAATCCTTATGTCACTAAACCTAGGGCTTTTATTACCCTGTTATATTTAAAGTAACTTGGTATTTGTCTCTTAGTAATCATTTATTGGAATTAATAAATAGTATAATTGTTTATATAAGCATCTACCTCAGTATCATAGTAAAATCTTCCACATGAATATACTCTCACCCTGTTTATTTTTACACTTTGATTTATATTAGAGTAAATTTCTAGATTTACTTAGATTTATATGTCTATTTTTTAGAATTATCTATTTGAGCTCACTTTGATTTCTTAGGTTCATACTAATTATAGGATTTTAATTAACCATTACTAAGCTAATTATCTTTAAGATCATTTTACTTTATGATTATTATTTTTCTTATTATTTTTTATTTTGCATTTATATTGTCAGTCTTTACTGATTTTTTGTTTTTTCTTTTATCTAACTTCTGTGTCCTTCCTGGCTATCTATTGGATCTTTATTTTACTTCAAATTTGTTACTCTTTTATGTGTATTTGCTTCCATTCTTGTGTTTTGCTATATCGTGCATCTTGTATCGTGATCCCTCTGCATCTCCATGCACACTGATATTGATCCTGATCAAAATCTGCTGTCTCATATCTACACCAACCAGCACATTGATCATCATTATTGCAAGTATTTCACAGCACACCAGGCAAAAAACAAACTCCAAAATAGCACCTGCTTATCAGTTTACAACCAAAATGTTAGATCACTTGGTAAACATTTTGACGATATAAATGCACTACTCACAGCACTAGGTACTAACTTATCGCTCATTATTTTAACAGAAACTTGGCTAAATAAAGACTATACCCAACTCTACAACTTAGCTGGTTATAAAGCCATTCATAACTGTAGGCCTAATAAAAAAGGTGGTGGCACAGCTATATATTACTGAGATACATTTATCTGCAACAGTGTCATTAGTGACAGAGATGACTACTGTGAATATACTTTTGCTCAGTTTATAATAAAATCCCTTAAATCCTCTTTGACTATTGGAGCCAATTATAGATTTCCCAATAATAACATAGCTTCTTTCTCAGATAACCTAAGGAATCTTATTATTAACAGCAATCTCAACAAAAACCACATCATTCTGGGAGGAGACTTCAATATTGACCTGGGTCAACAAAATTGCTCTCAAGTTGACTATTTCCTTAACAGCATGAACTCCTGTATGCTAATCCCCACAATCACCAAACCTACCCGAGTCACTCAAACATCCGCCACTACCTTGGATCACATATGGACAAACATAACAGCTCCCCTTGTATCTGGTATAATCTACGACTAGAACAACTGACCACTATCCTACCTTTCTCATAGCGAACATAGACATAACACCACCAAAAAGCAAGAAACTTTCATTTAGGTTACACAGTGAATCAGCTTTAGGCAATCTTACAAATGCACTTCACAATATTAACTGGGATTCTGAATTCAATAATACCCATGATATAAATTCATTAGCTAACCTCTTCCTCTCCAAAACTCTAAGCCTCTACAACCTTCATTGTCCCCTTCTTACCAAGCAAGTATCTGACAAAAGATTAAACAATCCATGGCTCACAAGTGGCATTCTCAACTCAATCAACAAGAAACATGAATATGAAAAGAAACTTAGGATTGGTCTAGTTTCAAAGGAAGTAGCTAAAAGGTACTCATCAATGCTTGCCAGTATCATAAGAAAGGCAAAACTTTCATATTATGTGAATAGATTCAATGAAGCAAAAGGCAACATGAAAAGCACATGGAAAAACAATCTCTAGTATCCTAGGAACTAAACAACATTCACATAACCATATAAAACTCTATAAGGATGGGAATACACCGTCAACTGATTTAGAAATGGCAAATGAATTTAATAGCTTCTTTTCATCGGTTGGTGCTAACCTTGCAAGTAAAATCTCACAGACTCAGCCACATATTAACACATATCTCTCAGGCCGCTATCCAAACTCTCTTCTCCTTTCACCAATCAGCCCGGCAGATGTTGTGTCCATCATACACTCTCTAAAAACCAAGACAGGGAACACCAGTGAAATTCCGTCCATTGTATACAAGAGCGCCTCCCATGCCCTTGCCCCACCCATAGCTCTACTGTTCAACAAATCTATAGAGTGTCACACCTTCCCTGATATCCTTAAAAAAGCAAGAGTAACGCCAGTCCATAAAGAAGGCAATCCGGCGGACATAAACAATTATAGACCAATATCAAATCTACCCATTCTATCAAAAATATTTGAAAAAATTATTTACAAACAGCTCTATTCCTACCTCGTAAAATTCGACATACTCAGCCCCTGCCAGTTTGGCTTCCGGTCCCAAAAGAGCACCAATGATGCAGTCATTAGTCTCCTTGACGTAATCTACTCAGCCCTTGACAAAAATGAGTTTCCGATTGGACTCTTCATTGACCTTCATCCCACCTTCGGCCAATCACTTCCAAGGCAATTCCACCACAAGAAAACTTTTGGCTCTATATTGCAAAAGGATCTTCGCCGGGCTGAGTCGCAGCAAGTTCCCCAGCCGCAGAATTGTGCATGCCAACACGCTAGAAAACTATGTCGACATCGTCCACCTGAAGGAGAAGCACCTCGATCCAATATTTACCAAAGAAATAAACTTCTCAGAATACGAAGAAGACCCAAAAGGAACTCCGATACCTAAATTGGAGTTAGGATTATTCATAAGAAAGTTCACCATGCCAAACCCCTACCTGCAGGCACCAAACAACCCTTAGAACACCCCGGTTCACCATCACCATAGGAAAGACACCTCCTCCAAGCCAGACAGAAGACCTCATCTGAATCAGGACAAAACCTCACCGCCTCACGACTAGCCTCCTGCCTCTTAAGAAGATCTCAAGCTCCAAGCCATGATCAAAAACATATGCCAACCCCACGATCGACAGGCCACCGAACTTTCAAGCCTCTTCTCTCCACATCCAGAACCTCTTCCAAGAATTTCATCACTCCCATCCTTTTTCCTCCCACAGCCATTCCAAGCTCTTTGGACATCAAAGCGAAAGTAACAGAGACATCCACCGAATCAACAAAGTGTTTATGGAGGAAGAAATCGTCAGGAAGAGTAGAATCCATATGGGTTAGATCAAAGTATTTAGTCCATGTAGCAGGACCAAACAAGGTATTGAACATATTAGCGCTGGAAGGGATCGTGCGAGGGCATCTGTGGGGGAGTCGGCGCCGAGCACCCCAGTGATAGGGGGGGATAAGAGATGCATTTGTCACAATGAGGGAAGTAGCCGCTCTAGGTGATGAGAGGGTCACCACAGGGGGTTTGGGGTTCAACCCTACCACAGAGGGAGGGAGGGGAGTAATCAAGAGCGTCAAAGGAGTAGCTTGGTCTAGGCCCAGTGTAGCGGGGGCTACAGAGCCCGGTCTTCCAACACAGTCCGACTCGGGGGCTTGGTCGCTCACCCTGCAAGCCTGAGAAGTTATAAGAAGATCATTCAGCAGCATAGAAATGAGAAGGTAATAGATTTAATTCACGAATGAGCCCCCATACCCCCCTTTGAGCCACAATTAGAGAATAGGACACACAACAAGAGACAGGCAGGAGACTCCCTAGGGGTGAATCTGGATATAAGCCCCACAATCGCCATCTTAAGAACCGTCAATCCATCGAGATCGTGTTCAGCAACGAAAGGAGGAGTGACAATAAAAGTGTCCCCTCGTTCACGATGATGGATACCTCAGTTCTACGGGTGAGAGAGTATGCCTTCTCAAACAACGGGTGTCAAAACAGAAGATCTCCGGAGGGATAATCAAGACTAGCAAAAGGTCTGCAGGAAAGACAATGAGAAAGGAGGAGGTGGGGGGACGAATAATATGGGCAGAGGAAACAGTGACCAGCACAATTAGTGAAGACGCAGCAGGAGCATAAGGCCGCAAAAGGACAGAGAACCGTCCCATGGAGCATCACACCCCGACAGCTGTCTAATAAGCCCCCTCATGACGACAACAGGCTGTAAAGGGAGGGGGTGATCCGCATGAAGATAGAGAGAGAGAGAGAGAGAGAGAGAGAGAGAGAGAGAGAGAGAGAGAGAGAGAGAGAGAGAGAGAGAGAGAGAGAGAGAGAGAGAGAGAGAGAGAGAGAGAGAGAGAGAGAGAGAGAGAGAGAGAGAGAGAGAGAGAGAGAGAGAGAGAGAGAGAGAGAGAGAGAGAGAGAGAGAGAGAGAGAGAGAGAGAGAGAGAGAGAGAGAGAGAGAGGAATGAAGAGGGAGACATGTGAAGAGAGAGAGAGAGAGAGAGAGAGGAATGAAGAGGGAGACATGTGAAGAGAGAGGAGGAAGTAGGACATTGAGAGGGAGCAGAGAAGGGAAGAGAGTGAGGGAGCGAGACCCCCAGGAACTGTTCGTGTCTCATATTCTAAGATACAGTATATTGAAAAGATTCATTCTACAATAATTGATCCAGCAATTTTTGTCATATTCAATAATATATATTCACACACTCTAAACTGGGTACCCTGTGGTGCTCGGGTCGACCCCTAAAAGCTGTGCCATGGAGGTCGCTCCCCCTTTAATTAATTTGCACAGGTGCTATTTACATGATGAATGAAGATCAGCAGTCAAAAAACATGTCTTGGGTAATTAAGGAAGAGTTGATGTATACCTTTTATATTAACAGGGAGCAGAATGATGTTATCTCAGTTCTTCTGGATAATTTTTTTATTTTATTTTTACATAATAAACATATTAGGAAGGTCAATTTTAAGACATTATACATATTATGTGTCTCTGGCCCGAAAAATTATCAGGTACACTACTTTCACACAAATTAAAAAAAAAATAGTTATTTCCAAAAAATATTTTATGACAGGTAGTTGTGTATATACTGAATAAAGATCAGTGGTCAGAGTTGTCTAAATTTAATAGTTAGGTTCGAATTAACATATCTCTTTAACATTTTATTAATGTATAATATAATATATTTTACATGGTACAGAATCATAACATGCTCTGAAACATCTGTGCAAGCTATTACCTCTCTCCCTCCCACAGTTCTTCTGCAGCTTAGTAAACAGTGCTTCTGGGGATCATCCCGCTGCTTGCTACCAATCATACGAGTTAGCATGGAAATTTTTTAATAATTTTATGCTATACATTTTGTGTCCAAATTATCGAGTGGTTTTCATAAAATAAAATTAATATGCATCGAAATTTATTGCTAAGTATTCTACTATATATTATGCTGCATAGCATCAGCCTCCAGCACAGCACTGTCAAGATGCATTCATAATGTTCTCAATAGTCATATATTGTGTCAAGATTCACACAATATAATGTTGAGAAGAATTGTAAAATATAATACTGCCAAAAAATTGCAAACACTAGCATTAACAAAAATTTTAAATATAATACTGCCAAAAGATTGCAAACACTAACATTAATAAGATTTATAAACAATGTCATTACAAGATTCACAAATAGAAGCATTAACAAGATTCACAAATAGTTTTACTAACTAGATTCACATTGTCACTAACAAGGTTCACAAATAGAAACATTAACAAGATTCACAACAGTGACACTAACAGATTCACAAACAAAAGCATTAACAAGATTCACAAACAAAAGCATTGACAAGATTCACAAATAAAAGCACTAACAAGATTCACAAACAAATACAATAACAAGATTCACAAACAATGTCACTAACAAGATTCACAAACAATGCCACTAACAAGATTCAAAACAGAAGCATTAACAGGATTCACAAACAATGGCACAAAAAATAGTCACAAAAAATGTCACTAACAAGATTCACAAACAATGCCACTAACAAGATTCAAAACAGAAGCATTAACAGGATTCACAAACAATGGCACAAAAAATAGTCACAAAAAATGTCACTAACAAGATTCACAAACACAAGTAATAACAAGATTAACAAACAAAGGCACTACAAATATTCACAAATTATGTCACTAACAAGAGTCACAAACAGAAGTATTAACAAGATTCACAAATAAAAGCATTAACAAGATTCACAAACAATGTCACTAACAAGATCTACAAATCACAACATATAAAGATTCATTAAACATATACAATCGTGGCTCTCGTCTTCCTTCTGGCCACGTTTGTGTTCTTCTTGATGTATATTGACATATATAAAGAAACTTTAGAATATATTTACTTAAATTACCATATTTCTCAATAACATTTATTGCTTAATACAAATTATAGTTAAAAAGAGTTGTTTCCCAAGTTCAGTAACGATATACGGTACATATTGTCCTACACCTTACAGTACTGTCCAGTACATATTGTCCTACACCATACAGTACTGTCCAGTACATATATACAGTACATATTGTCCTGGACCTTACAATACTGTCCAGGACATATACAGTACATATTGTCCTCGACCTTACAGTACTGTCCAGTACATATTGTCCTACACCATACAGTACTGTCCAGTACATATATACAGTACATATTGTCCTCGACCTTACAATACTGTCCAGGACATATACAGTACATATTGTCCTCGACCTTACAGTACTGTCCAGGACATATACAGTACATATTGTCCTGGACATTAAACACATAAAATGACACAGGTTTTCCAACTTGTGCTACAGCAACTATGCCTTCCTCTAGCCTAATTGTTTTTAAACTAACTTGTACTATAGAGTGTACCTGTTTCTGAGCAGGTAACTTGTATACTGCATATAATTAAAATTATAACATTTGTCACTGAATGTTTGTATGAATGTATTTTGTCCACTTGTGCTCCATGTATGCTTCCGCTCATTTATCAATCAAAAATAAAACAAAGTGGTAGTATCAACAGATGAATTGTTATTAAAATCTTTAAGACTTAAAAGACTTTTTTAAAAGGAGGTCACTTCAGATCTCTGAGGGAAGTGACATGAAATCTTGCGTAGATCCTTTCCAACTCCCTCTCACACACCCTTACCAACACACTCTCACTCACCCTTACCAACACACTCTCACACACCCTTACCAACACACTCTCACCCACCCTTATCAACACACTCTCACTCACCCTTACCAACACACTCTCACTCACCCTTACCAACACACTCTCACTCACCCTTACCAACACACTCACCCACCCTTACCAGCACACACTCACGCACCCTTACCAACACACTCTCACTCACCCTTACCAACACACTCTCACTCACCCTTACCAACACACTCTCACTCACCCTTACCAACACATTCACCCACCCTTACCAGCACACACTCACGCACCCTTACCAACACACTCTCACCCACCCATACCAACACACTCTCACCCACCCTTACCAACACCCTCTCACTCACCCTTACCAACACACTCTCACCCACCCATACCAACACACTCTCACCCACCCTTACCAACACCCTCTCACCCACCCTTACCAACACACTCTCACCCACCCTTACCAACACACTCTCACCCACCCTTACCAACACCCTCTCACTCACCCTTACCAACACCCTCTCACTCACCCTTACCAACACCCTCTCACTCACCCTTACCAACACACTCTCACCCACCCTTACCAACACCCTCTCACTCACCCTTACCAACACACTCTCACCCACCCTTACCAACACACTCTCACCCACCCTTACCAACACCCTCACACCCACCCTTACCAACACCCTCTCACCCACCCTTACCAACACACTCTCACCCACCCTTACCAACACACTCTCACCCACCCTTACCAACACCCTCTCACTCACCCTTACCAACACACTCTCACCCACCCTTACCAACACACTCTCACCCACCCTTACCAACACACTCTCACCCACCCTTACCAACACCCTCTCACTCACCCTTACCAACACACACTCACTCACCCTTACCAACACACTCTCACCTACCCTTACCAACACACACTCACTCACCCTTACCAACACACACTCACCCATACCAACACACCGATCACTTTCCACCATTCCTGTCTCACAACCTTCCTCTTACCCTATTATATATACTAATCAACCCACCCACCATAAACTACCCGCCCTCTCTCCCCCACTCTTGCCAACCCACCACCTTGTCCCACCTTCACCTCAAACGACCCTTCCACCTCTCCATGGAAAATAAGTGTAAAAGAATATCTTACTAAATGCTATATATCTTCTAAAATTACATAGCTCTAATTCAACAACAACATAGGTGACTCACAGTCACTGAAGACAATTAGAAATGACATTGTCTTAGTTTAAATTATTCTCGTCCTACTATTTCGTAAACCCTTGCCTCAGGACAATGGAATGATGCTCAGTCTGCATTGAATTCTTTATCAGTGAGTAGTGGAGGAATCTCCACCCCTCTCTTCCTGCAGCTCTCAGTAATCATGTCGCCGCAGTCAGGATGTCCAAAGCTGCTGGCATCATCTAAGGGTGTTCTCCCCCATCGATCCTTAGGGTATAAGATGATAAGGTATTACTGGTTTAATATACATGGTATGTATAATTGCTTGAATATTCAAGTATTTTGTGTCATGATAATGGGTGGGCATTGCCTAGGTTGCCTTCACGTAAGAATTGTTCCTGGGCGTTCCCTCTACATTTGATGATCTGAACATGTTGGGATTTGGATAATAGATGAAAGTAGTTTAATAAGATAAAGAATCATGAGGTTCTTAAGAGTTAAAGAGGAAATATTGTGAGCATGAGGAGGAGTCAGAAGTTGATGTGCCTCCTGGATGAGGTGGGGAATCTCCAAGCAATGCAAGAAGCTTGCGCCTCGAGAATGTGTTATAGAAGGCAGTGTGAACCAATTAGCGTTTTGCAAATAGCGACCATTTTTTTAGTGAACTTTCTGTCTCTGCGCTCGTCTTTACCTGTGCTAGTGACGAAAATTTGACGCTTCTTAGAAGGCCTGAACGAAGAATAGTTAAGGCCGAGACTTCTAAGAGTAATGTGGCTCAGAAGCTCCTTTGTATGTAGCCAGATTCGCCGGGATTGTGAAGACGATGAGCTGAGGGCGCATCACGTTGCAGGGACCGGGAGCTTGACCCACTAAGGCGGTCATTTGTCGTTAAAAAGACAACGTTCTTCGACAGTCGTCAAAGCAGAGGCGGGGGCTGGGACACAAGGAGGTGTCACCGAGGCAAGGATTCCACATCGAAGAAAACTTGGAAGGATAACGAAGATAAATAGAAGCTGAAGAAACGAGGCTCAGTTGTCAAGTGCATTGAATAGTAATCTCCTGTGCGACACCTCTTGAGGTGCGGCTACTTAAGTCGCACCTCGAAAGAAGCCGTACACAAGGTGTCACTGTGGCAAGAGTTCAACACTAAATAAAACTCTGAAGGATAACGAACATAAATAGGTGGCTGAGAAAAGAGGCTTGGCTATCGTCAAGTGTGAGACACCATCGACCAGTGGACAGGCGCTGGAGCTACGCACTGTGACGGTACAACTGCAGGTGCCAGAGGTAAGGAGCCTGTAGTGTCTTTGAGGGACTTTAATGGACTGGAGGGACTAGAGCAGAGGCCCCAGGGTCGTTGTGAGGAACCAGTTCACAACCAAGTACTTTAAAGATTTAAAAGAGTGGGGGGGGGGCGAGAGTTAGAGCCCCGGGTGAACAGTGAGGGCTGCCGAATCCCTGTGTGTGAGTTTTTAGGCCAAGGTTTGTAGCTCAAGTCAGCGAGGTATATGGACTGACCTGAGTAGAGAGACTATACTCTGAAATTACCAGAATATGAGGGTCCATGATTGAGGTGGGACCCAGAGCTGAGCACTAGGGCGTGTGATGGTGAAGACACGTTCCTGTAGTTAAACCAAGTTTACAGGTACAGACAGTTAGAGGTAAATTGGGTGGGCAGAGGACCCAAGATAGTATGGTGGACGACACGAGTAGCAAATGTTGTTAAACTTAGTTAAGCTATCATTAATCCTTCCATGTGTCCATGTGGAAAAGGCTGGTCTAACTAAGGTTCTGATGCTCTAGCTAGCAATAGCAAGATCATAATATCAATTTGTCCTTATAATTGTGGGAGTAAGAGGAGGGTTTGGTGAGAGACACTGATTACTACAGGAAACAGTTGAGAGCAGGTCACAACCGGCAACAGTGTGTGTACCGGACAACAGGCAGCAGGCTGGATTCTCCCACATGCTGACAGGAGCTGTTACCCGAGTTTACAGGTAAAAGACAGACAACCGTCTCTCAACAGGAATGTGGGGAGTACTCAAGGAGTACTCACCAGTCTGATTTTTTTTAATGTGACCCCACCCCCTGTATTCGTTGCATTTGTGGGCCCATGTCCAGAAACAGCAGTTAGTCGTTACACAGTCTATAAAAATGATAGCAGAGAAGACCCTCTAAATTAGAGGGTCTATAACCCATATCATTAACAAGCGTAGTAGTCGAAACTCAAGAAAAAATTTTAAAGCTATATTGGTAGAACACCTGAAGAGTAATGACAGATAGACAGTTTGGTTTTTGAACAGGAAAATCCTGTGTAACAAATCTACTTAGCCCATACCGGTTAAAATTTTTTATGAAAGACCAGAAACTACAATGGTAGGAAAGAGACATGTCCAGAAACAGCAGTTAGTCGTTACACAGTCTATAAAAATGATAGCAGAGAAGACCCTCTAAAAAAAAAAATTATTGACAAAGTATCAAACAATAGCTTGTTTTGGAAACTGGAGTATGCTGGAGGGATAACAGGCAAACTGCTAACATCGAAGAAATGTAGCTAACTGACAAAATGACGAGGGCGGTAATCAGAGGCAATATATCAGACATGAGGAGTGTTACAAGCAGAGTACCACAGAGTTCTTGCCCCAGTAATGTTCATTGTCTATATCAACAATGTACCAGAAGGAGTACAGAAATATATAAACATGTTTGTTGATGCTAAGCTATTAAGGAAGAAAGGTGACTAACATTGGCATGCCCTAAATCATCGTCATGTTACTAAATACTATGTTATGGAATGTGGAATAGGCCACACACAGCTTACAAATTATGTGGAAAGGCATTAACGAACTCTGACAAAGAAAGAGATCAAGGGATGGTTTCGATAGTAGACCGTCACCAGAAGACCACATTAAGGACATTGTGCAAGGAACATATGCTATACTGTCCAATTTCAGAATCGTTATTAATTACATGGATTGTTGAAATATTTAACAAACTGTTCACCACTTCTGTAAGACCAAAATTAAAATATGCAGCAGTTGTATGGTGCATATATCTCAAGAAGCACATCAATAAACTGAAAAGATTAGAAGGAATGCTACAAAACGGCTTCCAGAACTGAAGAATATGAGAACTACGAGGAGAGGTTAGAGGCGTTAAACATGATAAAACAAAAAAGAGGCGATTTGATCAATATATTCAAAATAATAACAGGAATCGACAAAATTGACAAAGAGGAGTGAAACCTGCAACTTCCAAAAAAAAGTCATAGATTCAGGTTAGGGGAACAAAGGGGTGAGAAAAATATTATAAAACTTTCATTTACAATCAGAGTGGTAGACGGTTGGAGCAAGTAAATTCAGAGGGTGGTGGAGGCCAAAACTGTCAGTAGTTTCAAAGCATTATATGACAAAGAGTGCTGGGAAGACTGGACACCACGAGCGTAGCTCTCATCCTGTAACTACACTTAGGTAATTACACACACACAGGTGTTTCCAAGTTGGCTCGGGGCTCATAGTCGTATGGCCCCGGTTTGATTTCTGGGCAAGGCAGAAAAAATGGGAAGTTTCTTATTCTTTCACCTGGTGCCGCTATTCATCTAGCAATAAATAGGTACTTGGTTGTTAGACAGCTGCTAATGGCTGCTTCCTGGGGATGTGTGTTAGAAATATTTGTAATAAAGTGATAGATGGAAAAAAGGTCGGGAGTCAGTACATTAGACAACCGTTGGATAGAAAGGCCGGATCCAAGAAAATACAGCTGGATCCTGCAGGCATAAGTAGTAAATACATCAACCAATGCTCCTGTTTAGAGAGTACTTATAGTAACGTTGTGGATCATCGTTCATATATTGAGGTAATGTACAATTAGAAAGTAGAATTTGGTACTATTGAATTTGGACAAACAGGGAAAGGACAAACGTATTTATGTTGCTAATATAATCTAACCAACCTAGGCCTAATATATACTATCTGAAGCCTAATATAGTGCACATATGTGCTATACTAGGCCTAGGAATATTCAAGTTTTTTTTTAGCATTATTTCTTCTGGACTTTAAAGTGAAAGTACCAAAGTCTGCAAATTGACCATTACATCAAAATATGTACAAAAAGTAAAAATATGTCAAAACATGCCCACATAGTTACAAAAACTACAATATAAACAGGAGGATGGGTTGAAATAAACACACACACAAACGCATGCACACTGTGGACGTCAGTTGCGTGTTTTAATATGAAGATGAACTCTCAACTTTTAAAGAAAGACCATGTAAAAATAACTCGCACCTTAGGCAGAGGGTAGACTTGACAGTTATGCAGGAGATACTTAACAATCTCCAGGTGGCCCTCTGATGTAGCTACGTGCAGCGCTGTCCTGCCGTCGTAGTCCTTCGTCTGCATGTCGGTTCCTGAGAGCGAGTGTCTGAGGAAAACAAAATTTGTTTGTGAATAATGGCAATGTCTTATCTCTTTCGACTATTTGGATGTATTAAGCAACTATTAGGTATAAACTCTTTGACGGCATTTTTGTTTTATTTAACTACACAATCCAATATATATTTAAAGACCATAGCCATACAGTATAGGCGTGCAAAAGTGTAAGATTTATGGGCTGTGCTGAACCTATAAAATAGATTTAAAACTAAATGCTTTTGAATAACATCACATATTGGAATCTTAAAGCATGATACTGTTGACATGCTTGCAAAGACAGCATGTAGTAGACCAGTAGTAAAAATGAATAAGCATTTCATTAGCAGTGATAAAGAGAGAGTAGATTAACTAATATCTGCTGAAACTCTTACTCACCAAACAAATTCACAAGGACTTTAATACTATAGCATTACACATTATGATGAATACTATGAGGAGACATTTATATATGAACTAATAGAGCAAGAACTCGGTAATGTTATATTATAGTAACCAGAATACGTCGTGTATACAAACGTCTGGCAGCTTTCTCAAAAATAAAATGTCGAATATACCATATGTCAACTTTGTGAGAGAGAAAGCATGCATTTCCTTGAATATTATATTGTAGAATGTCCCACATTGACTCTTTCATCCCCCTGTGATGAAAGAGCATATAGAATTTGAATATAGTAACCTAAGACCATATAGAATTTGTGATCCGCTTACCTAGAAGCCGAGCTTAAAATCTTATACATCTTATAAATCTTAAAAGAAACCAGTTCTGAAATTACCATATAACCCTCAATTAAATAAACTGACCCTAGAATGCAAGTGATACAAGACATAATATTGTTTTCAATTACCCAAATACTGTACAATTAGGGAACGGTAATAGAATACGGGATGACAGAAATCCGGGAGGTGTCGGATATTCTGACACTAACATACTAGATTACTAACACCCAATATAACCAGCAAACCTGGTTATACTAGTTACATTAGTTAGTCATAAAAGGATTACATAAAACGGAAAATTTGAGACGTCAACATCAAAACATTAATTTAACACAACAACTATTCTTGGGGACTCCTGGTTCAACCTTGAAGCCGAGCGGACGTCTGGACACCTCCTCCGCTTGGGGGCCGCCTGTTCACGCCTTGTTTTCGCGTTTTGGCTTTGCTACTGCCGTTTGGCATCCCTTTTCAACGGTCCGATTGTACGACGCCTGGCGCACATGTCGCCTTGGGTCACAGGATTATTGATAGATTTTTTTTTTTTACGTGTACTGGCTGGTTCTCCTGGCGGGGTGAGTGTTCGGGGGCCGGCTTGGCCGAGAGGTGCCGGGGGGGTTGGCGGGTCTTGGTGGGCTCCTGGTGTGCCCTCAGTCGTGGTGGGCGGCCGGCTTCTACTCTGCCGGGGGACGCTGAATGATTTTTTGCGTTTTAGTTGGGGGCCGAGTTTTGGTTTTCTACCTGGTGTTCTCTGTGTGGGGCGGGGCCGGTGCTTGTCACCCTGAGGGACTCCTGGGACTCCCCCAATCACCTGCCTGACTGTGCGTTTATTTATTGTATGGCATATTAGTTTCTAGTGATTGGCGTCACTCGTTTTGCGATTTGGCGTGGCGTTCCACCTTTCCAGGCTTCGCGATTCACCCTTAACGGGTCCGCCGGGGCGCATCCGATCCTACGATCGTCGTCGCCCCTAAATCAACAACATCAACAACAACAACAACAACAACTATTCTTTAAACTACCAGTCTAGAAATTAGAATCAGAAAAAATTATTCTCTATGACTGGATCTAATATAATTATCAGTAAAACCACAGTCTACCTTCCTAAGTCCATTTAACAAACAGAAATAGAACCATATTTCGGGAGACGCCATGGAGGAGGCAGGTCGGTCCGGGAGAGCCTGACATTGTATATAAACAAAGAGAGAGGCTCCCGTTAGGTCCGATACGCATCACTACAAAAACCCGAAATTAGAAGTCGACAAACAGTGAAACTGCCACAGCGACCTCACCATCTTCAGGAGTACCTTTATATCCAGTTTGAATTAAATATATCTTTTTAGAAGGCCTGCTAGCATTAGATAATTTTAACTCGGTTATGAAATGTACGAAGCCCAAACAAAGGGTGAGCCTGGTTTACTAATAACACAAACTTCATTATTTCATATCACATATTGACTAGAACATTGTTATTTGCATTAGTTATTGTGTAAATATTTGGAAGGTAACCATTGATGAGCCGAAGATAATTACAGCAAGCTGTTAACACTTACTGGAACCTGTACAGACGCCCACTTGCTCTAACAAAAACAACAGGGCCGCCATTAACAGGTCCAGGCCGGTCCACATGTGGCAAACCAAAGTTTGATGTTGGAAGACCAGCTCTCATACAACCAAACAGCTGAGACCAATTTAACCATAAATTGACCCATTCTTAGTTGTAATACTAACCCAATTTAACGGTAGAATATTATTCAGTAGTTTATTATAATTATCATCTCTTTGATTAATAGACTGTGTAAAATAACCCCCCCCCCCATAACTTGTAACTTGTGTTCAGGTAAACACCTAGGTCCCCCAAGGTCTCCAAGCATAGATGCTTGGGGACCATTCATGCTTGTTCGCGTTTGTGTTGCTCACGTGGCCCCACAAAGTGAGGTGATTATATAAAATATCTATGCCCAAGCTGACCACCAAGTGCTGTGGGTATGTTGGGGAAATTGCCTCGGCTACCAACGTCTTTTGGGAACCATTCAAGCCTGTTTGCATATATATATATATATATATATATATATATATATATATATATATATATATATATATATATATATATATATATATATATATATATATATATATATATATATATATATATATATATATATATATATATATATATATATATATATATATATATATATATATATATATATATATATATATATGCGAACAAGCCTGTATGGTCCCCAGGACTATATGCAACTGAAAACTCACACCCCAGAAGTGACTCAAACCCATACTGCCAGGAGCACAATGCAACTGGTGTGTACAGGACACCTTATCCACTCAACCATCACGACCGAACAAAAGCTGATGGTAGCCGAGGCTATTTGCCCATCAGCCCACCGGTACTCTGATGGCAATCTTCGGCATAGTATTTTATCAAATCACCTCATTCTTTGGGGCACACTTGACGAACACAAATGCAAACAAGCCTGAATGGTCCCCAGGATTATATGCAACTGAAAACTCACACCCCAGAAGTTACTCGAACCCAGACTGCCAGGAGCGCAATGCAACTGGTGTGTACAGGACACCTTATCCACTCAACCATCACGACCAGACTAAAGCTGATGGTAGCCGAGGCTATTTGCCCATCAGCCCGCCGGCACTCTGATGGTAATCTTGGGCATAGCATTTTATCAAATCACCTCATTCTTTGGGAAGTCACTTCTGGGGTGTGAGTTTTCAGTTATATATATATATATATATATATATATATATATATATATATATATATATATGTGTGTGTGTGTGTGTGTGTGTGTGTGTGTGTGTGTGTGTGTGTGTGTGTGTGTGTGTGTGTGTGTGTGTGTGTGTGTGTGTGTGACGATAATCTCCTTCAAGAGACTGAGCCTGCTCTTCCCTCCAAAAATACGTCGCTACAAATATATAAAACTACTATGGAAGAAATATCCAACAACGACAACAACATCTCCAAGGTTTGCCAGAGAGCAAAACGTATGCAGCCAGGAACACCTGCTCCACCTCAAACCGCCAAACTACCTGTCTTGTCGCCTGCTCATTGCTGATTGGCTGCGGGGTCCAGCTGCAACTGCACTCCACCCACCATACTACTTGATGTCTGGGGCCGCCACGACCTCAGTCTTCAGAATATCCCGTGCTTTAGACAAGTTAACACGTCTCGTTGGTAGACTAAGCCCCAGGCTTACGTGTACTAAGAGAGGTGGCAGCTTGAAGCCAATATTCCGACACCTATTTCCTTTGTGTGCCATAAATTTGTTATTTGCTCACTTGTCTTAACGTAACTTTTCATTTTGTCATTTGATTATTCTTATTACTTTGATTGATTTTATTATACGAATTTGTATGTCCATTTTTATTCATGTTTTGCTTTCTTTAACGTAATTAAAATTTCATTGTTAAAATTTACTTGTGTTTTGTGTGTCTTCTCCTTACCTTACCACAGACAAAGTTCCAGATTTTCTATTTTTTTTTTTTTTGTTTCTATGTGACGAGGCCATACCCCTAGCTTTGAACAGCCGAACACCAACGCGTTACCGTCACATATTATATGGGGGCCTGTCCTAGGAGCTTCACTCAGGTACTGGTGCCAAGTGGTAATTAATGGTAAGCGTATTTAACTTTGTTAACGTAGCTTTTACTATTTTTCATATTCAATTTCATTTTTTATATGGTGCGGTGTATTGTGCATTACGAGAGTAGCATATGGTGAAGGTGAGACATCTTTGGATTACGTGGTGACTGTAGGCCTCAGTCATACTCTTAATTGGTCATCTCTCCCTCCGTGTTATTACTCGTGTTTACCATCTTTGTCCCTTGGATATTTCTCATTTTTGACAGATCATCATATTGGTACTCTGGTACTGTGGTCTGCCCCGGGTCAAGTGCACCCAATCTTCTGCAATCTGACTGTAGGAGGACAAAGAGGGCCATAGTTCCTCTAGCTCGAACTTTAGTTGCTGAATTGGGACCTCAGCAGCAGTTCTCGTCACCAGTTGACACCTCGCACCCCTACACGTCAGTCAGAGATGATGATACATACAACGGTAGGGAATTAGCTTACTTTTTCAGAGCACAAAAGTTCGCTAATTCTGTAAGTATCATATTAATTTAAGTAGGAAAAACTTGCTTTATGTCCTATAGAGACTCGGCAAGGTATGCCTACATCCTTGGACTACCAATTTTACTTTTGAGGCAATTAACTGTTTCATTTGTTTTCGAAACTCTGTT